CCCATCAGTAACAAAATGAACAGTCCAGCTGAAATCATGTTTGACAGAAAAGTGAAAGACACTCTTCCATCAAAGATTCACTATACGTATAAACAAAGAGACGAGGTAAATGAAGAACTCACTTAAACTTAAAGACAAAATATTCAAAAACACCGTCATGATAGAACTGCCAATGACCTACCACCTTTGTATGTCGGTCAACAGGTGACCACCCTCGATCCGGATACAATTCTTTGGAAAAGAGCAACGGTAGAAACACAACCGAAAGAGCCTAGGAGCTATCTCGTCAGGAAAGATGATGACAACGTAGTGAGAAGGAACAGAGTATATCAAAAAGAAAATAAATCATCATCACCCGAAACCCAGATTAAAGCCAAACAAACGACAACGAAGCGACCGAGAAGGATACTCTCCGCAATCGCAGGCCGGTTCCCAAACCCATCTACTAACTGTCACTCTCAGTAAGCCCAAAACAATGGCTCCAAGGACGCCGGGCAATAACAACAATAATCACACAAACACAACATACACAAACAAAAGTGGTCGTGCTGTTAAAGTGCCTACCAGCAGATACAAAGATTAGGTACAGATTCATAAGGTCAAGTGCAGCGAACACTAACACCTTCATACTCACACCTCTCTGCAATAATGACTCTTAGTTAATATTCTTAGAAGAACAGTTGATCATGAGATCATTATTCATCTGTTTGTCTAATTGATGATACGTACACCAATACTACTTCTACCGTGGAAAACGAACTAAAGGAATTAACAGAAACATTTTATGAACATTATATTATTTGTGTATTGGATACGAATATCATAATTATAGTCAATGACATTGTCCGAGCGACACTATGGAAGATAATGAGACACAACGGAATCCCACAGAAGTTGGTGAACCTCATCAAAAGCATGTACGAAGGGACAAGTTGCAGGGTTGTAGCCTACATGATGGCCAGCTCACGGACAGCTTTGACATCAAAACTGGAGTGAGACAGGGATGCTTACTATCACCGTTCCTCTTCATATTGGCAATCGACTGGCTGATGAAGGAAACCACCAGAGGACACAGAAATGGTATACAGTGGACACCATGGACACAGTTGGACGATCTGGATTTCGCAGACGACTTGGCGCTTCTGTCGCACACCCAGGAACAGATACAAGCAAAGACTTCAGTATTAAACAGCCTATCGGAGTCTGTTGGATTGAGGATCCACCCCGGAAAGTCAAAGGTACTAAGGACAGATGCACAACGAAAGGAGCAGGTCACAATAAAAGGAAAGGCCCTAGAAAACGTTGAATCCTTCTGTTATCTTGGGAGCATAATTGACAGAGAGGGAGGAACAGGTGCTGAAATAAAGTCCCGCATTGGAAAAGCACAGGCTGCTTTCATATCTTTGGATAGGATTTGGAAGACCAGAGAGATCTCACTTCGAACAAAGCTGAGGATTTTCAATTCAAACGTGAAGCCGGTCCTGTTGTACGGATGTGAGGCATGGAACGCATCGCAGACTTGTATAAAGAGGATCCAGGTTTTCTTGAACAGGTGTCTAAGAAAGTTACTGAGGATCAGATGGACAGACAGGGTCACCAATGTGGAAGTGTTAAGGAAAACAAGACAGATCCCAGTCAGAGATGAGGTAGGAAGAAGGCGGTGGCGATGGATTGGACCTACTCTCAGGAAGTCAGGCAGCTGCATAACAAAGAAAGTTTTGGATTGGAACCCACAGGGCAAGAGATCAAGGGGAAGACCTCGTGGAACTTGGAGAAGAATCACAGAAATCGAAGTACAGAAAAGTGGGAAGACATGGAATAACATCAAGAGGCTAGCCAAGGATAGAGAAAATTGGGGGGTGTTTGTCCGTGGCCTATACCCTGGTGCAGGGTGAGAAAGGCAATGATGAATGGCATTGTGTTATAGGCATACGAGGTGGCTAAATCTGTTGTCAAGTCCTGCTGCAAGGTTTGCATGGTAATGTGTTATTATTTTGGTATTCTGTTTTGAATGCTGTGATTTTGAATGTTGTGAAGTAGACCTTCTTTGCGCCAACTCTTTGTAGGGGATCTATTAGATCTAGATTCTAGATCTATATTGCGATGATTTGTTTCAAATGTTGAGTTTGAATTATTACAGGTTGAGTGTTATGTACTATCATTGGTTGAGTTGAGTGAAAGGTCTCTTTTGTTGTTAAAAACAATCAGGTATGCACGGAGATTTGAATGTTTGACTCATTTGGTATCACAATTGATTAACTGATAAAGTATAACGATTTCAAATCTGTCTATCATATGGGTAAACATATCACCTTTTATTTAAAAAAAAAGGGGGGGGGGGTAAAGTTTTCAAATAGTAATAGGCAAATCTGGTTGGCAGTCAACGTGTATAAAATCTGCCCACTAAGTCTGTTTACTGTTTGTTTGGCGCTTCTTCTTTATCCTGTCACGAAAATAAACATGTCGTAGGCTACCGAACACCTGAGTCGAGTTCAAATCAATGCTTAACGTAGCATTGCGTAAGTGTAGATTCTGTTTATTTAGCCTACTGTTTGAATTGTACGCAAAATGCAGCTTGCAATATTAATATGTTACCACATCTCGAGAGAGATGCATTGATATCTCAAGGTAAAATCTGCAGTGTCGAGTGGGGGGTGTGCCCTGTCCGTAGGTAGATCAGATCGTCAAATTAATAAGTCATGAACGCGGTCTCTCAACTGTATTAAATAATAAATTAGCTTACTTGTTGTCTATGCACAGTGGATCTAGGCACATGTTCGTGACCCTACAGTTGGCCCACTTCATTTTGTTTCCGATAGTCAAGTAACCGAGGCGTAGTTGAAAATACATGTATTGCACTCAAGTGAAGGTAATGGTTCTCATTATCTTTTTAAAAAGATACTTTTAAAAGTCAAGGTCAAATGTAATCAGATTCAATGCATCCTGCTATTGTGTATTATTATAGATCTAGATCTACTAGATCTAGATCTAGATCTAGATCTAGTCATCATAAAGATCTAATGCAGTTGCCCTTTGATTGATTAATTTCAGTGCCGATAACATAACAATCTGAATAATCTTCCTTTCCATCCGAGCCGGCAGAGTTATAAAAGCGAAGTAGATTCCAGATCTAGATCCTAGATATAGATTTCTAGATCTAGATCTAGATCTAGATCTAGATCTAGATATCTAGATCTAAATATCTAGATCTAGATCTAGATCTAGATCTAGATTCTAGATCTCGGCCTTTTTTTCTAATCTTTTATTTTTAAAAAATAATATAGAGATCTATCTAGATCTAGATCTAGATCTAGATAGAATCTAGATCTATATAGATCTAGATCTAGATCTATATAAAAAAAGAAGTGGCCTTTACCGATTCTAAAATCTAAAACTGCACAGAAGTGTGGCGGATAGGTCAGAATGTGCATTGTTCGAACTCAATGGAGTAGAATCTAGATTCTAGATCTAGATCTAGATCTAGTACTCTTTACCCTCTCCCCCGAAAACCACAGATCATAACAAAAGCATATTATAAGTAGCCATTTCGAGGGCACCATTGCATTGTCTGCATAGGTGAAAGGGGATGATGAATTTTCCTAGAGTCTGTAATACTGTGATTAAAAATTGACCCCTTAGGTACTGTAGATTTCATTTTACTGTGTAGATTCTATATACATATTCAATGAGAAGTTGTTATAAATGCTTTATTATCATAATCTTGTCGATTAGGGTAAGCCCTACCTGTTGAGTTCAGCATGATGTACCATTATTTGAAAAAGGTGCTGTTTTGAATTAAAGGATTAAAATTATGAGATGTTTTTCAAATCATGCCTGGAAGGAAATTTCTCTTTAAAAAAACCCCCAACAAACAAGGAACCCCCCTCCCCCCAGAAAAGAAGAAAAAAAAAACAATTAATAAAAAAAAAATAAAAAATCAGGGGTCAAAACAAAATTCCGAAATATTGCGAATGTAAATATTGGCGTGTTGTTGTGATCATGTGACTCAATGTCACATGACAACTTGCCTACAACATGCTTGAGTGCTCTTGTGACTTCGTTTGATAACAAGGCTCACAAGGGAAGCCGCGGCAACACCTCGCAAATTAATTTAGGAAATTTTTGTCAGTGGATGGTTTCTTTCCTTAGGGTATACCCGGGATCACCGAACCTGCAATTACCAACAATGTTATGGAAAGGCCTTTCACTAGCAATTCTGTTGCTATTGATATCAGCATCTTCTTGTTATGCCGACAACTCTGATGCAGGATGCGGCTACGAGGTAAAGTTTAGATTCTATATCTAGATCTAGAACTAGAGGTTTTTCTAGTAGAGTAGATATAGATTCTAGATCTAGATCTATATCTCGGGATCTAGATTTTGTCTAGATCTGGGTCTAGATCTATTCTAGGTCTAGTCTAGAAAGTTGACGGTAAAGGTAAAGCAGGGGTACGCGATACCGTAAGACTAAGACGTAAAAAGTCGTAAGACTAAGACTAAGAGAAAGGCCAGCTCTATGGTGAGAATAGCGCAGGCGAGCCTTTTCACCTGGTGTGCCATCACCGTGATCGGCCAACCAGTGTAGCGTTCACCGTGAACAAACGTTCCAGCGCTCTTCTTGTGTTGAAAGCGTGCAGTTTTGTCTGTGGGCAGTGAAAGAGGGGGGGGGGGGGGGGAGACAGACAGACAGAGAGATCAGGCAGACAGATAGCCCGTCACAGAGAGAGAACAAAATGGCGACCCGCGTAGTTCGGCTCGATTCGGAAAACGAAGTGGCTAGCCGTACTAGCTAGACTGCCAGTCTAGCCGTACTTAGATCTAGGTTTGGCCTTCGAACCTGTTGCATCCCCCCGGGCAGTGCCACTGACTGAAGTGTCTTTAGGCCATTCCCAAAGGGGGGACATTTCTCGTTCAAGCACAGTAGAATTATAAATGGGCTGATCCAACAATGTCACGCTCATAACTGTGCCTGATCTACAACAGGAAACTGCTGCTTTTTCTTTCCTAATCCTTACTATTGTCATTGTCCTTTCCTTTACTTCTTTTGTATGTTTGTAACTCTCTTGTGACCTGGGCCAATCACAGAGGTGTGCTTGGTGCTCGCTGTAGCTTTGTGTTAATTCACTGCCATTGTTTGAAAATGCCCTTTCAATTCTACGCAAACCTCGCTATCCAACACGACACTTAGACTTAAGTGATCGTTGAATCTCGATAGTAGGCCCTATGGCCCGATAGTGAGGTTTCATCAGCAGAGCACTGGTCAATCCCCGCTGGTCAGTGAACTTATCTTCCTCCACATGGTCACTTATTTTATCAATTCACTTGAGATGTGTTGAAGGACAAAGAAATTTTCAACCAAGTCCAAGCAAAACGTAATAGCTCACTAGCTGGCTATCGGGGTATCATAATGAAAGGACACAGAGCAAGTTAAACATGTGCATTTATTAAAGACAACCCAAAGGTAGCAAAGTTTGATTGGAGCAACTGAAAGCCTCTTGTTGCGCTGTTCTCTATGCTCTCTAACACTTTAACAAGGTTCATCAGAGCAGTGCTTGAGATGGAGAACCTCGCTAAACAATGGAAGTTTTGTTGCTACCTCAGATTACGCAATAACTGGCACAGGTTAACACATTCTTTTTGCAGGATTTTACCTGAGGCCCATCACAGCAATCAATTGACACAGAATTCGATTGTACCGAAGTGTTAACATTAACAATGTTTGTAAGTTGTTTTTTTGTCTTTCCAGTAAAATTGTAACGTTCAAGGTTCCGACAGACCACCAACGATCTATATATTATATATATACCACTATGATAAAACATTTGTCTTTGTATTATACTTCAGAATCTAGTTTGATTTTTTTTTCCAGAGCTGTAATGCAGAGAAACCTGGCATGATCAACGTGCACTTGGTGCCCCACACTCACGATGATGTTGGATGGCTGATGACAGTGGACCAGTACTACTACAAGTGTGAGTACAGTCTTGTTAGTTCATGTATGTGGTGATTTTATTATATTCTCCAACACCGGACCCTGATTGATAATTTCTTTCAAGAAATAGGGGAGCCAGCCCTGTTTTATGTGTACTTTTGCACAGTGGGCTTAAGTCAGATGGTCATGCAAGATGACCTAAAAGCAACTTCTTTCTTAAAACTGACCTAACGACTTCAAATTAACTTCTTTCTTAACTAACTCTGTGGCCATGAGTAATCGCTTACTTTAGCCTTCCCACTCAGAACATATAGATAGGCCTTAGCAGTCATTCCTGGGGAGCTCTGATCCACGGGCTGTTTTTAGCAAGCTCAATTTCAGTGTCAGGTGTTTTTTTGTTTTTTTTGGTGCTATTAATATTTTTTAATGTACAGTTGAAATTGTCGAAGATGGCCACCCACTGTTGAGGAGTAAGTGGTTTTGTCTTGGACAGTCAGGTGTCTTGGACAGTGCCATAATAATGGAAAGATTGCTAGGGAGGGGAAGTGGGAAGAGGCTGTTGGTATAGGTGTTTGTCTTTGTTAGGTGGCCGTTAAAGTTGGTTTGACTTGGTTGCATACACTAGAGACTAGATTTGGGTTTCAACTCAAGTTTAGAAGAAATGTATTGAAAATGTGGGTTCATCAATATATAAGTATGGGCTTACAAAACTTGCTGACAACTCTGACCCAGTATGCTGCTACCTAGTTTTGTTTTCTCACTTTAAAGTAAGCCTAAAATGTAAAACCTGTAGTCCTACTTTTTTCCCCCCAGATGTGCAATGGATCTTGGATGGAGTTATCCCAGAGCTGGTGGCTGATCCCTCCAAGAGATTCATCTATGTAGAAATTGCTTTCTTTTCACGCTGGTTCCGACAACAAGATAAGGCCACCCAACAGGTTGTCAAGAAGTTGGTGAATGAGGGTGAGAGATATGGTTGCTGTTGTCTCAGTTAACGATAATGATAATAAAAGTAATAATAAATTAGTTTGATTCATTTTTATAGCGTTTATCCATTATCTATGTGCTTTTATAACCCAATAGACACTGGATCACCCCCCGGGGCAGGGCCACTGACTGTAGTGTCTTTAGGCCATTCCCAAAGGGGGGACATTTCTCGTTCAAGCGTCAAGCACAGTAAAATTGTAAATGGGCCGATCCAACAATGTCACGCTCATAACTGTGCCTGATCTACAACAGGGAACTGCTGCTTTTTCTTTCTTAATCCGTACTATTGTCATTTTCCTCTACTTCTTTTGTATTTTTGTCACTCTCTTGTGACCTGCTATTTCCGGGTTGCCTTGATAGTCGAAGCAGACCGTGTGCTGTTGAAGCTAGAGAGGTGAGCAGAATAAATCTGATTCCCTGTAAAGACCTCTCTGTAGACACCCACCCCTTGGCACTCATATGACCTTATGCAGGTGCGAATGCCGTAAAACCTTCTATAAAAAAACAAAGACACTGGACCACCCAGAACATTCTCTGTTTCCTCGGAAGCATACAGAAGTCAACCTTGCTGTGCTATTTGTCACAGTTGTTAAATAAAAGAGAAAACTTTTTCTTTTGTGTTGTATTATAGTTGTGCACTTCTTTAGAGTACTGTTCTCTTCTGACAGTAGAAAGAGTGGAGCTACTAATTGTTCTTTAAAATTAAATTGAATGTTTGATTCAAACATTTAATTTGTATTAGTTTAGTATGGGGTTTTACGGCGTTCACAACTGCATAAGGTCATATGAGCGCTAATTTGTATTACTTAGGGAGACTGGAGTTCATCCTGGGAGGCTGGTCAATGAATGATGAAGCTGCAACCCACTACTCTGCCATCATTGACAACCACAAACTGGGCTTTGAGTTTCTCAGAGAAAATTTTGGGAAGTGTGGAAGGACAAAGATTGGCTGGCAGATTGACCCTTTTGGTCACTCCCGTGAACAGGCATCGCTTTTTGCTCAGGTAATTGTGGAGTTCTGTGAACCTCTGTTTGTTTGGAAGGGGTACAAGTGCGGGACTGTCAACTACTGATTTGACTTTTTGGGACATTGTTTGTCTTTTGTGTGTGTCTGACAGTGGGTCTCCTTTGCCCAACAACTTCTGTATTTTGATTTCTGCAGTTTTTATATCATCCATATTTTTTATTTTGGCGTGGGTTAGATAAAATTGAATGCTTTTGTTTTGTCGTAATTAGTTTGCATGATTTCAGCCAAAGTTTGGGAAAAGTTTATTTGTTATAAGAGTTAAAGAGATAATACCTTTCTTGTCAGGAGTTCGAATCCTTGAAGAAAAACAAGAGGGCAATTGTGTTTTGTTTGACTTAATACGATACTTCAAAAGAAGCACTGATACAATGGTGATGATCAGCAATCAGTTAAATTAATCTCAATGTCCGTTTTTAAAGATGTCTGCATTTTTGCAGTTTTGTGTTCAGTGTTGAATGTATTTTCCTGATTATTATATGTTGACATGAGCATATATGGGCCTAATGCTTCTCAGATTTGTTTTTAGAGGTTTGGAATTGGAAGAGTTGTTTTTGGGGGGGGGGGGGGGTTCAATGTAAAAAAATTATGTCCAGAAGTATGGGATCTGAATCATGTGTCTTGAGTATGGTGCTTATAAATTTACACCGCACAGTGTATTTTATTGTAAAACGGTCACAAGTACTGATTTGTCTTCACAACCTTTTGTGCTCTTACAGTTTGGATTCGATGGTTTGTTCTTTGGACGCTTGGATTACCAAGACAAGGATAAGAGACAGAAAACTAAGACCATGGAGCATGTGTGGCGTGGAAGCCCAAAGAATCTTGGTAAGAGACATCTCATGTTAAATGATTTGATTAGTGGCTTTACAATTTTCTTGTTGGATCTCTTTATGTAGAGGCTGCATTTGAATTGTCATGTTCAGTTATTGTGTTTGTGACCTATGATTACTTATTCTAGAACCTGAGAATTTTGGTATAATCTAACATTGTTTGAGATGGTCAGAATGAGAAAACAGTATCAGCTTTGAGTGTCCTGGCTTGTCCATGCGTTTTACTCAATAAGAGGTGAAATGGAGATAAAATATTCAACCTTGCTGAACTCGGATGTTAAAAAATGCAGCTCAAGATCTAGAGTCCACTTGTTTCTCTCACGTGATTTTCTCGATGGCAGGCTTGGCTATGATAAAATGGGATCGCTGACATTGTCCTGTTGCTTTTTTTTTTTTTCTGTCCTAGATAGATAGGCGTGTCAGAGTCAGTCCCTCAAACTACTGTGTAATCTGCTCTATTGACCACCTGTGCTAAGGACCACATCCTGCTTCTATCGTTGTGTTTTTTTTTCCCTCGTTTTATAATGATACTATCCAAGAAGACCATCCATTAAGGGCGAAGAATCTCGGAGGTCCCGTGTGCAAGTTGCCGGCCGCCACCCGCGCAAAATTCAAAATTTCCTACCAACTGAACAGGATGTGTCCCGCTTGCTCGTATGACCCTATGCAAATGCAAGTGCCGTAAAACACTAACCCCCCCACCCCGAAAAAAAAAATCCATCTAAGATATTACCACTTTTTTCTCCTTGACAGTTTGTGGTTGTCTTGGACAGCTTAGACAGACCTCTATCCTTCCCTTACATGTATTTCTCAATACACCCCTGACAACAATATTAATCCCAACCCTGTTATTTTGCCTTTACTTTTGTTGGGTTTTTTGTTTTTTTTACAATGGTTTTGCTTCCTCTGGTCACAGGCGCTAAAGCTAACCTTTTCACTGGAGTTTTGCCCAATGGCTACAATCCACCCAATGGATTTTGCTTTGACTACACCTGCTTGGCGTACAACCCATCACAAACAGAGATAATGGTTAGTAGAGAAGTTTTGTGGCCCAGTATTAAAGAATGCTTGTTGGCATTTAGATTATTTTGGATTGTCCTTGAAAAGTTTTGTTTGATACCTGTGTTATCTATTCAGTTTTTGTGCTGTGTACTTTTTTTTTTTTCTTTTTTTCCAGATCTCCTCTACTCTTTCTTTAAAAAACAAATTGCAATGAATATTGCTTTTATTTGACTTAAATGTGCATAGGAGAACTGAAATGTGATTTTTATGCACTTTTTTCTTTTTTTTTAAAACATTAAATAGTACTTAGCTTTCTTAGTTGTACGAAAAATTATTTGACTGGACTTTTAAGTGAAGCAAGCTATAGGGTAAAATACAAATTTTTAAACAATGCTGACTTCAGCATACTATTAATAGTTGAGAGGTCTTGTTTGCTGTCCATGTTATCGTAAAAATATGTTTCAATGTACTGAGGTTTTATGGATGTCAGTCAGGGTTTTCTTTCTTTTGAAAGAAGTCTTCAATGTTTAGTGCCCTAAGATACCAAGATATTTGTTTTTATCTTGAAAAATGCTGTTTTAAACAACAGTACTTCAGCTTGAATTTAATAAGAGATTCCTGTGTTGTCGTTATAGGATGATCCGAGACTGCATGACTACAATGTGGAACTTATGGTGGACGGGCTGATCAAAGCCATGAAAGATCAGGTTGGTGGGCCTTTGTTGTACTCAGAGCTGTTGATTCTGCCTCCTCACTTAATAATTTGGTAGCTAACGGTCTATTTCTGCTCTTCCTCTTTTTCTAACAAGTTTCTCTTGTGAAAAAATGTCTGTTGCTGTAATCAGACTCGCTCTCATACGATTCTTGAAGCTGTAGATCTTTTCTTTAGAGCTGTCTCTTCAGACTTTCCACTCAATAACTACTTCACCACTGGACCCTTCTTTTAATTGCATGCTACATCCTCACACATACATATGCACGTTGACAATTCCAAGAGCTCGTCGTATTTTACAGTCACAAGGGCTTTGAACTTTCAAATTTATATTTTTCAGTGAACTGTACCTGTGACTAACTTTCAATTTTTTAAAAGATGTTTTTTCATGCTACCCAGGATGCCCCAGGTTTGACAGTTATGAAGAGTTTTTTTGTCTGTTTAATATGTGTCTGTATATGAAACTTTTGTCTTTTGTGTAGTTCATAACTCTCATTCGCCTCTGACAGTCCAGAAGCTATGCTACGAATCACCTGATTGCTACCATGGGCTCCGACTTCAACTACGTTCAGGCTCATATGTTTTTCGCTGAGATGGACAAGCTCATCAAATATGTCAATGCCAGGGTAAGTCCTGAAATTATTAGTTATATATATCCATTTAGAATATATTTTAGATTGTCGCGGGAACTTTCAACAGCTAAATGATTTTAGTCACCTGTGTCTGCACACTTGTGATATTTTGTGCAGCTCCAGTTCTGTTTTGCCAGGAAAAGATGCTTTGTACAGCAATACAAAAAGACATACATAATTAATGAAGAAAAATGTAACGCCCCTGAAGATCAGGAGAGGGAATTATGTGTGTGTCAGGAAGCTCTAATATGACAGCTTTTGGTCTCTCTTTCAGATGGATCCTGAATGGAAGTTTTTCAGGTTTTGAAAAAAAAATCATGTGATTATGTAAAGCATTTCTTCTAGAAAAAGAGTTTGGATTTGAAAAACTGCTTTAAAAAAAAAGTGATAATTGCTTTCTGTTTCTTGTGAGCAGAAATTGATTATTTAGAGTATATGATAACATCAAAAGTACTTGTTCTTGAAATAAAATGAATGATGTTTTCTTTTTCTCTTCTCTGTTGTAGGAAAGTCCATTCTATTAATGGGTTTTTTTAATGTCCCTTTTTCCCCATCTACTTGTATTTATTGCTCGGAGTACTTTGTTTTCAGCAAGCTGTGGGCAGCAAGATCAACCTTCTGTATTCCACCCCATCCTGCTACTTGAAGCAACTGAACAACGACAACCGCACCTGGACCACCAAAGACGATGATTTCTTCCCGTACGCTGACAGAGCCCACGGTTTCTGGAGCGGCTACTTCACCAGTCGGCCAACTCAAAAGCATTACACGAGGGTTGTGAACAGCTTTTTCCAGGTGCTATATTTTTTGTGGTTATTGCCTCATGTGTACAGTTGTTATCTCAGCCAAAGCCAGTTTGCAAAATAATTTTTTTTTGCCCTCTTCTTGTGTAACAAAATGCGTGGAAAAAAAAAATCAAATTTTTAAGACTTCGTTTTTGGTATTTGTTGTTGTCTTTGACTTGAAAAAAAATTGGGGGTAATATCTGTTTTACACTTTATTTATTTTTGTTGGTGCAAAATTTGACTTGGTTGCAAGGAGTTTTATTTTTGAAGCAACAGTTTATGACAGAGTTTTGATAAAAACATGGTCATGTCAGTTAGGACTTACTGAAGTTTGAAGCGGAAAGTGCACCTCTCCAATTGCTTTTTGATTTTCAATACTTGTATTTTTTCTCAATACTTTCAGTCAACCAAACAGATGTATTGCCTGGCAAAGCTGAATGGCCTAAACAAGAGCAAGGAACAGCTGAATATACTTGGTATGTTCTGAGAGTTTACTCGTCTGTGGTTAGAATACTCCTGCAAACACATGTGCCCACACACCACACTCACTCGTACACTATATATCAGACATAAAACAGCAAAGACGTGAAAAGACTTACATGCTCATTTTTTTCATTTCTTTTCTTGAATTCACTATTGTCTGTCTGTCTCTTTCTTTAAATTGGTGGGTGCCTTCGGTACATTCAGCTACTTACCTACTACACTGTTGTGTCTGCATATTTGGTCTCGCTTTCTCTCAATGCTGAATGACTGTCGTCATGTTGTTTGTTCTTTACATTAAACATCTTCTATGTATCATTTGATTATGCGTTATTTGAAATCAACTGATTCATCTTCCGTGTGTTTGTTAGATAATAATAATAGATAGCATCTGCATAACGCAAAGTCCTGCTCAACAGCAAGTTCTTTGTGCTTTACAATCTACATTATTACTACAGCAGACCTGATAGCATTCTGGAAAAAGTCTCAACTTCCTGGAAAGCATACAGTGTTATGAGATTTTCTGTGTCTTTCACAGCATCTGCACTCGGTACTGCACAGCATCATGATGCCATCACGTAAGAAAAATTGACAGAATTTTTGTCTTTGTCTCAATATGAGCTCTTTTTGGTGGCACTGTACATTTTTGTATAATGTCTTAGTGCAAGGAAGGATGAAGGAAACAGTGTGAATTTGAGGGAGCAATTGTTGAGGAAAATACCTGTCTTTTTCAACAATTTGTCAAAAGGCTTTTGATAGATATGATGTAAAGAATAAATGTATTAGATGCACAATCTTTCAAGTCTCCTTTTGTAGATTATAATTTCACCTAAGAAATATGTTTTAGTTTGTATTAATTAAGAAAATATATATATGTATATTCCTTTTGTTTCTTTGGAGAAGATATATTGGTTCTGTCTTCCGTTTTGGTACATGTGAATTCAGTATCACATAAGAGAGGGAACATTGTTATTCTTTCTTTCAGTGGAACGGAGAAACAGGCGGTGGTGTTTGATTATGAAGAACGCCTTGCCAATGGTGTGAACCAAGTCCAGGTAATTTCACATTTTTCTGTTTTTTAAGTTTCTCCTTAGTATCAGCTGTCTGTATTTGATATTTATTGCAGAAAATCTCTCGTAATTTGTATATACATAACTGCCTACTTGTACGTATAAAAACCAAAAGCATATTTAAATATGATTGTGAGGTCCTAAGTATGCAAGTCCATTTTTGTGTAGAAAAATGTGTATTCTCTGTTCTACTGGTATTGCTCATCATAGACTTGTCAATGATGAAGAAAATAAAGAGAGGGTTCCTTGACCAATGCCCAACATTATGACCCACTGCATGAGTAGACTTTTCTTTTTTTTTTTAAAGAAAAATTGGAAGCTATATACATATAATGTCCTTGCTGTTATATGTTGTGGGTTTTTTTTGCGTCTGGTTGGGGATGCCACTAACTGTCCTACTTCTGTAGTCGCCCGTTGTTGTTTCTGTCTGTCCACCCTGCTCTTTCTTATATATAAACACTATCATCGAGTCGGTGTCATTCTTTTATCTCAAATTTAAAGTAAAGTAAATTGTGGGTTGATTCTCATGCTCTGAAAATGAATTTGTCATGTAGTGTACATGTATTTGATGGGTTTTTTTCATTAGAATTTATAAGAACTGCTGTGAAAAATGTAATGGCAATAATAATAATATTAACGATAACAATCATTATAGGTATGATAATAATAATGATCATAATAATAATTGTAATAACAATAATAATGCACAAATTTTATACATTGCCCACTCCTATACAAAACATCTTTAGGCACTTTGCAATCCCTTAATCTTCAGACACAATACAAGTGAATGATGCAGACATTCATACTATTCCAGCTCAATCACTGATGACAGGTACATCTCTTCATGAATGTAAGAGTGACATAATACATTTGCAAGTCTCTTTGATTCCCCCCTCAGAATGTGGTGCAGGATGTCTACAACAAACTGATGCCCAAAGGTGGGGCCGCAGCTCCAGAACAGCTCTTCTGCACACAGCTCAACATCAGCCTGTGCTCGGTGACTGCAAACCTAACCAATGTAAGTTTTTAAGTCTTTATGCATAGAAATGTCAGGCCAGAGGGCTGCTTTTTTGATTGGTCGTTGGTGTGTTTTCTGTTTTAGAGTTCTTGATTGCTAACAGTGTCTAACTAGATCTTTCAAAGAATCTTCAATCTTTAGATATTGAGTGGAGAGCCGTTTTTCCCTACATCAGGGTAGAGTCCCTTGTCTCTCAGGCTACTTTTAACCTTTTTCATAAATTACTCTTAGACTTTCTTAGATTAGGTAGAAAGAAGTTTAAAAACTCACTCCCCACCACATCCCTATTTTTAAGAACTGACATCCTATTTCAGCCGAGTGGGGAGAAAATTTTTATAGAGTATCTCGGTCTTTCTGCTCGAATGTTGTATTCCTCTCAACCTGGGTTGACACTTACTGGTAGGGTCGAAATGGATGAGTAAAAACATGACTTTAAAACAAATAATTTTTTTCTTCTTTTCAGCTTCAAGTGACCCTGTACAACCCCCTGGCCCGTGAGGCTAAGTACTACGTGCGCCTCCCAGTGTCCGGCACAAAGTACACAGTGTATCAATCGGATGGGAAAACCACTGTCCAGAATGATGTAAGTAAGATATGTGTCTCGACATGGTGGAATCAGGCGCTTGTCAATTTTTGGGCATTTGGAGTTATTGATACCATCTGAAAGCTTATTCATTTGTGTTGCTTTCAATAAAAAAAATATCCATGTAGCTTAAACAGAAGTCGAGATATTTGCATTTGAAGGAGGTGAGGTAGCCTGGATTCAGTGGTAAAATTAATCCGAAAATGGCCGGCAAAGTTTGGTAACTTCAATAGCTTGACTCTTTTCCTACCAGGCCAAAATCCACCACTGGCCCAGGGCCCTGACCAATTTTAAGCCCCTACCCCACCAAAGGAAAATGTCAAAACATTCAACTAAACACACACAAACCATAGCATCAAACAGAAGGTTATAAAATAATCTGTCGGATAGTAGCACAATATTGAAGATTTATTCCAATTATATTAGTGTGGGGTTTCTATAAGTGATAATGCAATATCGAAGGTGTCATATAAAGAAATGCTGAAAGTTTTTGTATGTGTACCTAATGAAGAAGTGAAAATATGAGACATATACTGAAGTCAGAGTAGTACTTTTTTCTTTCTCATTTTTATGTTTCGAAGGGGATAAGAAAATCGCTGAAATGACTAAAAATCGCCTCTCAGTGCTATATTTTCTTTCGTATCCGCTAACAGGAAGTCTTTTTCTATTATTTGGAAATCGTGGATCGGCCGAAAATTTGGTGTCTTTTCATTACTGGATTGGAATACATATCCACTCGAGCCATATTTTGTGGCTCTCGGTCCAGCAAGGCCACGTCCGCGAGCTTTCACGGCTCATGGTAGGAAAAGTGTTAAGAGTTCTTGAAAACTGAAAATTACATATTTTGTGCCCTTAAACAATGTTCTTCTGTAAAATTCACGTCGAAATGTGTTTTCGTACGAACATAAAAGGTGTTTAGCCAAAAAACAAAATTTCAATAAAAATTGTCAAACTGTTGGAAAAATGCCTTTTTCTTCTATTTCATTATTTTGACGAGTGCCTGATTTCACCACGATGCCTCACATATGATGAAATGAGACAATACTTTATTGTCCCGTGGGTTCATTTTTGGCTGCTTTACAGGAATGACCAAAATAATTTTTTGAATTATATGATGAGATAATCTAATACTTTATTCCCCCTCGGGGTAAATTTTTATAGTGTCTTTACAGGTATTACCAAAATAATGGTTTTGAATGATGTAAGTAAGATAAGATGAGATAAAGATGATATTATTTTATTGTCCCAAAGGGGAATTTTTAGCAACTTTACAAATATGGTAAAAACACATGTAGATATATACATAAAATCAAAATTGTATTGTATTACTTTTATTGAGTATGTCTTGATTGTTTCCTGTCGTACTGCACTTACAGTAGGCTGGCATTTTGAATTATATATGATGGCATAGCTCTCAAAGCATAACAGAAATGATTGCATGCTGAATGAATGCTCTGTATTATTTTGATGTCCAGTAGTAAGACTTAAAAGCATTCAGTGAGTACAGGAAGTAAGTTTTAGGGGAAACAACTGCATTTTTATTACATGTCCATCATATGCAGCAATAAAAATATACAATGGGCTGAATTCCTTCTGTTTCAATATTTCTTGTGTTGTAAGTATGGTTTCTTTGGTAAGATTTAAGTGTCACTTACCTAGTTCTGAGCTTCATTACTTGTCTTACGGATTTGTAAAATTTTTGCTTTCAGGTTCTTCCAATCTCTCCAGGCACTGCTCAAATTCCCCTTCCAACAAACCGTACAGCTCATTTTGAAGTGGTCTTTTTGGCTTCAGTTCCCGCTTTGGGGTTCAGCACTTACTTTGTGAGAAGACAAAGCACAAGCAGTAAGTCAAAACGTGTCCATTTTGTATTTTGTCATTTTAATATCTCCTATGAAAGAGTGTTAGAGGACCTAATATATCGTCATCATTGCTTTTGTCACCCTGGATCAGGATATAGGCCTAAAAATACCCCACACTTTCCACCTTTCCCTATCCTGGGCTAGCTGCTTGAGGTTATTCCGTGTCTTCCCAGTTTTCTGTACATCTGTTTCTGTGACTCTTCTGCAGGTTCCATGTGGTCTTTCCCTTGATCTTTTACCCTGTGGGTTCGAATCTTAACATTTTCCTTGTTATTCAGCTGCTTGATTTCCTGAGAGTATGTCCAATCCATCACCACTGCCTATTTCCCTCCTCATCTCTGACTGGGTTGTCTCTCTTTCGCCTCAATACTTCCTCGATAGTGACCCAGTCTATCCTTCTGATCCTCCCCTAATATACAAAACTGCAAAAGCTTATAAGTGAAAATGTTAATTATGTATTTCTACCTTTCTTTCGTTTCACAGACGTCTTACGATTTCAGAGAGAGTATTACAGAACACAAGTTTCCACTGATAATTCCATTAAAGGAAAGGTAATTTGGTTGCGAGATGTCTTACAATGAGAATTATGTTCCCTACATTTGTTGTGTTTCATATTTGTATTTCATAG